TACCTTCGCTGTACTCAAATTATTTTTCAGCAAATAAATGTAAGACAAGATATAAATATATAGGATGATAGAGAATTTTAGGCGCTATCAGAATATATAATTACTTTTATAAAAAGCAATTTCTATAGTGATGATAAATTTAAAAAACAACTTGAAGAAATAGTAACAAAATGCAGTTCGTGGGAATCTGACAATGTGGGGGCCGTCATTGCACTCGGTTTGTTTTTCAGCAGATAAATACAAGACCAGGTTTGAATATACAGAATTGTAGAGAATTCCAAGCGCTATCAGAATATGGGGTCACTTTTGTAAAAGTATGCTTTCGTAAGGAAAATATCTCAAAAATACTGTGTGCAACTATTTTTTTCCAAGAGGATATATTACACTTCTATATTGAACCTTTTATCTGCTATAACAACAACTTGTTTAACGTTCTGCCCGAAGCATGATTTTGGCGTGATAAAATTGCTACTCCTTCGGGTTTATCGTAGAGCCTTAATTTTTCCATTTTGATGCTAAGATATTTCTCCATTCTATCGGAATAGTTGTAGAATTTCGCTGCTGTGCTGAAAAAAATGCAAAATTCTACGTCGGACGTTGAGGTTATTTCAGAGTTTTGACTTACAATGTGTGTAAAAAATCCACGAAAGCGAATTTGCAAAAATCGCTATGATAAGACTGTAGATCCAGATGTCTACTTTCGTATAAGTACCTAACATACCTGTCTAGAAAAAGAACTTTGCGATATCTGTAACTCTGCAGTACTTCACTTGTTTAAGCTGAAATTTGTAGCATACACCACTTAGGTGATAAGCACTAACTTCAGAAAAGTCAGATATAAAACAAAAACATTTTTTTTCTTCGGATGACCCTCTGAACAACCCAAGAGAAAACGGCCTTTTGGTAACGGGAAGCGTGTTTTTAATCAATTTTCAACTGAAAAGCTTATACAGTAATTTTTTGCTCAAATGTCTTTGGGATCCGTAGCTTTCCCAAGATGAAGATTCTTATCCTCCAATACAGTGGCTAATCAATTTGTATTAAGTAATTTTGGTTCTCTCAGTTATATATTGCTCTTATTACTATAAAGTGTAAGAACTTTTCAGAGATAATTTTCCTGCTGATCTGGCATCATCGCGTGAAAAAGGTCAAAGACTTTGCATGGAACAATATCTTCATATATTTAAAAGTTTTCGTGTACCAGGCGTAGAAAAAGATCATGTGTATCCTTATAAAACAGAGACACAGCCATCAAAAAATGAGCACATAATTGTAGTATACCAAAATGTATTTTACACACTTGATGTTGTTATTGATTACCAAGAAATCAACGAAGAAAATATATATTTATCACTAAAAAATATCGTGAAAATGACAAATGAAAATTCAGATCATGGCATTGGCATACTAACAACGTTACCGAGGCGTATGTGGGGCACTATACGAATGGACTTGTTGAAAAGTGAGCATTCGTAGTCTAAAGTTCCAAGAACACTTTGAAGGTCCTCGTTGTTGTTTCAGATCCGAGCAATTGTTCTTCAGTAGCGCTCATAGAAAACTCTGTTTGCATTTTGTGCTTGGACAAGGCTAAGGATACAAGTGATGACATACAGTGCAAAACTCAGAATGACGTTGCCCGAATTGAACAAATATTATATGGTGGAAAAACTATGGAAAACTCTAGTAATCGGTGGTATGATAAAACTCTACAGGTATTTGAAAACAAACACTGCTTTTACTTTTTATATTGATGGACGACGTACTTTTTCGGCATATAGTTTTTGAGCTAACTTCACGTATCTACAGGTTTTCGGCAACAATGAATTCAATAAACATATACTTCTGCTTACATGATGTATGTTCGCCTAAAATCTCCGTTACATTACAAATTAGGTCCTTGTTCCGTGCTGGCCAGATTTGTTGGAACTAAGGTGGTACTCGCATAATCTCAAGACGAATCGAACAGCGTGTTTCGTTTGATTTCATTCTGGGCTTCGCATGGAGTCGTCACAGCCTCTACTATTTCCCATAGTAAATTTTAGACATATTTTCTGTTCTGTCTTCTCTTTTTCTGCCTTTTCTTTCGTTCCTTTCCGCATCCAGACTGTAACTATAACAGTGTGAGTTTGTATTGAAAATAAAGGTTGAACTTTCTTTGGTAAGCTACACAAAATAGCAAAAATGATTCATTAGTTTTAATGATGGTTTAAATAAAAGTTCCATTGTTTTTTTTGATAACTCCCTATCTCGGTTATATTACATATGCCCAGCCAAACATCAACTATGGGAAAATACTAAATACATTTTATCTGTAAGCGGGTGATACACTACCAGTTATCATCTAGATTATTAGTTGGAAGAGGAACTTTCAACTAGATGTGTCTGCGTGTGCAACTAGCAATAGTTAAATCGAGCGATTATCGAGCGATAAATCGATAGTTGCAACTAGAAGAAATCTAGAAATCCCTCTATTACTAGGTCTCCACTGTCGTACCCAATAGTTGCAATCGAGTAAAAATCTAGTAATCTAGATGAATCGGGCGATGCTAGATGGTTTTTTTACGCTTGGATGGTAGAGATACCAAGTAGGGCGCTACCAATACTTCGCCATATTTCTGTGCCTAAACTTTTCTTCTAATTACTCGAATTTTTTACTCTTTTAAATCTGTAACTGTTTCAACTTTAACAATTGCTGCCCGATATTTTAACGATTACCTGTCCAGTACAAATGCGTAATAACTCACTATTTGGCACTGATGACCGCCTATCGATCTTTCACAAAAAGTATAGTGTTTGATGTACGAGATTCATTATGAAAATTAAAGCTACATCATGCATTGTTACTTACAGGGATTGTACAAATTAGCCTGCAGCGTCAGAAATAGAATTCTGTGACATTATACCAATGCCGTATACACATGTACGCTACATGAAAGTAGATGGTGCCACCGCTATGATTCAGTAACGACCTCGGAAACGGAGTTACCAATACCGGACAAAAACGAACGATTCAGAAATGGAATATTGATGAAAAACAATGCATTTATCGTTTCAGTCCTGCTATATACCGAACTGAGGTTTTCTGAAAACATGGTTTCACCCAAAAACTGTTTTTGTTGTCAATAGGATGTCCAGTTATTTATGAATAGCATTTAGAAGAAAATTTACAGAAGTTACTGTCTTGCCAGAATGAAACGATTATGTTACCAGCAAGATGTTGGTCATTTCAGCTGCCCGTGAGATCATTAGTTCTTGATGAGGTGCACTGTGGAAAAGCCGGTCAAAATTATGATTGGTTAAACCGTGAAACAACCCTATTTGTGATCGCTCTATTGATGTGCCCCTTGGAAAAGGTCTGTTAGCCAAAAGTGTGTTACAATTAGATTTATGGGTGCGCGCCTTTCGACCATCTCATAAACGTCACTGTCGAGAAATGGATCGAAGCAAAGTGAGCCAGCAAACGGATTCTGAATTAACATCTAAACCTGTAGCGACCACACTCGTACAGCGACATATTCGTTTGATTCTGATGGATCAGAGAAAGAATGAAACATGCTTCAGACGGAGGAGGAAATATTGTAACAGTGTGTTTTGTATTGAAAACAAAAATTGAACTTTCTTTGGTAATCTATGCAAAATAGCAGAAATGATTCATGAGTTTTAATGACGACTTAAATGAAAGTTCTTTTGGTTTTCTTAATAGCTGTCTGTCTCAGTTTTGTTACAGCAACAGCAAAAATTTTCCAATCTCATTCTATCTCTCTTGAAAAAATCTTGACTTTTTCGGTGCAAATGGTTGTGTGAACAGTTATCTTTATTAGAGAAAAATATGAAAAATGGTATAGATGATACTTTCATGTTAAGGTTTTAGTCGACCACTGCCTCCACTTGATTAGAACTTTGAAGTGTTAATAGAGAAGAAACTAAACGATGAATAAAATTTTGTTCTGTGTGTCACTCGATGTTCTGACATATCACTTATATAGAAGAGAAAAGACAGAGCAAAAAGTGCATGCGGAAGTGAACGAAAGAGAAAAAAGAAAAAGTGAAGATAAATCAGAAAATATGTCTAAAATTTACTACTTACTGCATTTTTTTATTTTTATTAAGTCATCTAGCTAGTATGTCTCGAAGTTGAGAAATGGAGATAGACTCCGATAACGTAGTCAAACAGCTTGGTTCAACTATGATTGTACATAACAGGACAAAAAAATATTACACTTTGAGAATAAAAGGAATATTTGTGCATACTTACTCCGCTGTTATAATCATTTAGGTAATTGTGAGCTCTAACGGTACGTGGGGTTTAAATATAGAGCACTCCTTAATTGATGGTATTGTATCACAAAAAATAGCTGAATATTTATATAGATATGTGTAAGTTAGCTTTTAATTACATAATCAGATAACTATACAGTCGAACTTATTTAGAACTAACGCTAGTACCATAAGCAAAAACACAAACCCTGTTTCTTCGTGGAATACTTACAGCGCTAGACCACTTAAATGGATTTTGACTGATTATAATATTTATCAAATCAAAATGGCTGAAGATTTATTACAGAGGTAAGCGTGTAAAATTACTAAACGGTATGAAATACTTTTTGTCGATCTCTAAACTGCGCCTATTTATTGCATGTGGTGGAGTAATTTTCTCGTAACAAACCTTCTTCTAATCATCCCTTCATAAAATGAACTGCGTTACTCTGCTCAATTAATTCTATGAAAATAAATAAATCGTCTATCATCTATAAGCACACATGAACTCGAAGCATTTCGCAAGTTATTGAAAATGCCATATAAGTTTATCATCGCCTACCACGAGCTAATGTAGCCGAAACATCTGTAATACCGCGTCATCCGATTAACACAAAATAGAACATTAATTTCATTCTTATTCACAGCTTGACGGTACACAATTGGCATTCAGACGGACATTTGACGAAAACTCGAAAGTGCGCTTTTTCAAGATACGTATAGTGTCATATATACTTCGATATACGGGCTAACTAATGGTGTAGAAATTTTTGTTTTCAGTGCTAACTTTTTGGAAAAAATGTATAGCCAAACAAGAGTCAGTACTAGCGATCTCTGGGAAAACCATTCTTTTCTAATAGACGAAGTGACTGTCTGGCACGGTTGTAACCGGTCTGGAAATACTAGACCGGTCCGGTCCGGTCCGTCACCGGCCGGTCTAAAAATATTTTCAGACCGGTAAAAACCGGCGAGTTCATCAAGTTTTTTCAAGTAATAACATTGATATTAGGGACAAAATTTGTAGTGTGTAAATATAATAGTCTGTCTCAAGCAGTCATTTGTCGAATGACGAAACGTCACGAATAGTTTGAAAATAAATTTGAGAAGAGATTCACTATGTCAAATAACAAAGCCAATTAAGACGAATTTTGGTTAGGAAGCTACGGTATCGGCATATCGAAAGTAAAAAATTAGATTAACATTAAAGAAAAAAGATAAAAGCATATAAACGCCAATACGTGACAATGTTCCGATTGCTAAGATATTTTAAA